CTGGATTTTTCCTGTTTTCTCCCATTTTCCCAATACAAAAAAATTATTTCCTACATGCAGGACCTTCCAGAATATCAAAAAACACATAAAAAAAATAATATAATTTAAAATAAACAAAAAAAATGGAAAATTTTTTGAAAATTTGTCCGTCCATGGGATTCGATCCCAGGACCCCTCCCTCCAGCAGCGAACTTGCTTGTCTGGTGGCCTACCTTCCAGTCCACGGTGATACGTGAAGCCTACCATAGTTTCGCTTCAAAAGCTCTCTCCTCTCATCTTCGCAATGCACCTTTAGGGGCCCACTGTGGCCCCCTTAATTGGCCTATAAAAATTCTCTTCACAAGCCTTGTTTGGACCATACACCCCTACTTAGGGTCCGAGTTTGAAAATTATACCTTGATATTAAAGGGAGCTAGGGGGTCTTGAAATTTGAATCTTTTTCGAGCCATTTAATTTTTTTATTCCTTTTTTTTTATTATTCCATTACGCTTTCTTTGCTGGATTTCACACACAGAAAACTCCCCATGCATGCTCGAATATCCAAAATGTTACAACAGAAGTCGAAAAAGAGGGAATAAACTGATTTTCCCAGATTTTTCCAATTTCCCACTAGGGGGTACACAATGTGGCCCTGTATTTTACTATGTATGTTTATCTAAAATAAGTGCTCTGAAATGCTTAAAATGAGGAAATTCGCCTTCTAAAGAGCTTTAAAAATTCAAAGACATTTTTCAATGTGAACTAACGCAAGTCGCGATTTCAGACCTAAATATTGGCCCATTATATTTCAATTGGACCACGTATTATATTACCGGATAATAGTGTACCCTACCTGGGGAAATAATTATCGATCAAATTGGGGGTACACAATAAGGCCCTGTATGCGTATCTAAAATAAGTGTTCTGAAAAGCTAAAAATGAGGAAATTCGCCTTCTAAAGAGCTTTAAAATTAAGAAGCGCGAAGTCATTTTTCAATGTTAACGTAAAGCCCGATATCGGAGCTTAATATTGACCCATAATATTTTAATTGGGCGACGCATTATATAACAGGGTAATAGTGTACCCTAATACAGGAAATAATTATAGACCCCATAAGGGGTACACTATGTATATTTAAAATAGTTAACATTGAAAAATGTCTTTGAATTTTTAAAGCTCTTTAGAATGCGAATTTCCTCATTTTAAGCTTTTCAAAATACAACATACATAGTAAAATACAGGGCCACATTGTGTACCCTTTAGTGGGTCTATAATTATTTCCTTTGGTAGGGTACTTTATTCCTAGGTAATATAATACGTGACCCAATTGAAATATTATAGGTTAGTATTAAGGTCCAATATCGTGCCGTTTCTTAACATTGAAAAGTGTCTTCGAATTTCCTTTTTTTAATGCACTATTTTAAATATACATAGTGTACCCCCTATAGGGTCTATAATTATTTCCTGTCGTAGGGTACACTATTGTCCTTTAATATAATACGTGGTCCAATTAAAATATTATGGGTCAATATTAAGGTCCGATATCGGGCTTTACGCTAACATTGAAAAATGACTTCGCGCTTCCTAATTTTAAAAAGTTTTAGCAGGCGAATTTCCTCATTTTAAAGCTTTACGCAACTCTATTTTAGATATACATACATAGTAAAATACAGGGCCACATCATGCACCTCCTAGTGGGTCTATAATTATTTCCTTTGGTAGGGTACTTTATTCCTAGGTAGTATAATACGTGACCCAATTAAAATATTATAGGTTAATATTAAGGGCCAATATCGTACCGTTTGTTAACATTGAAAAGTGTCTTCGAATTTATTTGTTTTAATGCACTATTTTAAATATACATAGTGTACCCCCTATGGGATCTATAATTATTTCCTGTGGTAGGGTACACTGTTACTCTGTAATATAATACGTGGTCCAATTATAATATTATTGGTCAATATTAGAGGGTCCGATATAGGGCTTTACGTTAACATTGAAAAATAACTTCGCGGCTCCTAATTTTTTAATTTTAGAAGGCGAATTTCCTCATTTAAGCTCTTCCGAACTCTTATTTTAGATACGCACACATAGTAAATTACAGGGCCTCATTGTGTACCCCCTAATCGACCTATAATTATTTCCTCCGGTACGGTAAACTATTACCCGGTAATATAATACGTGGTCCAATTAAAATATTATGGGCCAATATTAAGGTCTGATATCGCGCCTTGCATTAGGTAACATTGAAAAATGTCTTTGAATTTTTAAAGCTCTTTAGAAGGCGAATTTCCTCATTTTAAGCTTTTCAGAACACTTATTTTAGATAAACATACATAGTAAAATACAGGGCCACATTGTGTTCCACCTAGTGGGTCTATAACTATTTCCTTTGGTAGGGTACTTTATTCCTAGGTAATATAATACGTGATCCAATTAAAATATTATAGGTTAATATTAAGGGCAGATATCAGACCGTTTGTTATTATTGAGAAGTGTCTTCGAATTTCCTTGCTTTAATGCACTATTTTAAATATACATAGTGTACCCCCTACGGGTCTATAATTATTTCCTGTATTAGGGTACACTATTACCATGTAATATAATACGTGGTCCAATTAAAATATTATGGGTCTATATTAAGGTCCGATATCGGATTTTACGTTAACATTGAAAAATGACTTCGCGCTTCCTAATTTTAAAGCTCTTTAGAAGGCGAATTTCCTCATTTTTAGCTTTTCAGAACACTTATTTTAGATATACATACATAGTAAAATACAGGGCCATATTGTGTACCCCCTAGTGGGTCTATAATTATTTCCTTTGATAGGGTTCTTTATTCCTAGGTAATATTATACGTGACCCAATTAAAATATTATAGGTTAATATTAAGGTCCGATAATCGATATCGGGCCGTTTGTTAACATTGAAAAGTGTCTTCGAATTTACTTGTTTTAATGCACTATTTAAAATATACATAGTGTACCCCCTAATTGACCTATAAATATTTCCTGTGGTAGGGTACACTATTACCCTGTAATGTAATACGTGGTCCAATTAAAATATTATGGATCAATATTAAGGTCTGATATCGGGCTTTACGTTAACATTGAAAAATGACTTAGCGCTTCCCAATTTTAAGGGGTTTTAGAATTCGAATATCCTCATTTTAAAGCTTTACGCAACTCTATTTTAGATATACATTCATAGTAAAATACAGGGCCACATTGTGTACCACCTAGTAAGTCTATAATTATTTCCTTTGGTAGGGCACTTTATTCCTAGGTAATATAATATGTGACCCAATTAAAATATTATAGGTTAATATTTAGGGCTGATATCGTTCCGTTTGTTAGTATTGAAAACAAAGAACTTTAGTTGCCGTATTTGGTGATAAATAAGTAACTAATCGATATCGAAGAGAACATGTGAGTGAAAGAACATGCTTGTAAAAGTCAGTCTCGGAATGTATAGTAGCATAGGGGTGCTATTTGCTAATCATGCTTATTCAAACAAACCATGTAACATATATATAGATTTCCAAAAACTTTTAAAATGCCACTTAACATTTACTAATTTTTTTTCTTCACTTTTATCGAAAAGAAATACCGTGAATATTGTAAATCAGGCCCTCCAAATTGTTTGTTGGATCTTTTAATTCTTTCCCTTACTTAAGAGACTGGAACTGAGATGTAAAAGCAATTAGCCCTACAATTTACAATTCTTCATAAGTTTATGATAACTTATGTAAATTTGATTTTAGTTCAAAATTTTCATAGAAATGACGTTAAAACAACTTTAAAAAAACTAATAATGTCAGATGAAAAGTTCAAAGTTTAGATTCTAAAATCTCTGAAAATCAAAAATATTTTTACTTATCGATTCATATTTTATTTTCAAAGGAAATTAAACAGAAAACAATCTGTTTTCTTTGCCCAGAAAGCAGCCTCAAAAATTCTCCTCATTGTTGCTTAGCAACGGAGAAACACGATGTTTTACCGTCTTGTCATTCATTCAGTTTCTTTATGGTTGTTTACAGTTGTTTCACCTTCCTTGGTGAAGTAATTAGGCATATTTTTTTTAAACTTTCGCCACGTATATAAATCTTTATAAACTCCATTTTTTCGAAATTTTGTCTACTATTTTAAGAGTTAGGATTTTAAATATGCAAAAAAATGTATGTTTAATAACTGAAAGTACGTTTTCGTGTCTGATTTCGTAACTTAATTGCTAGTTAGTACTAATTAATTAGCATATTCGAGGTCATTCCCAGGAATCATTAATATTGATATTTTGTTCGCGAAAATCCGATAATTTGAACGAAAGTTATTCAGAGTGATATCATTTTTTTTTTTGCTGTGTATTCCTATATAACTGAAAAGAGGAGGAAAAGGAAGGGGTTGCAACACTCGAATACGCCATCTGGGGAGAGACCGGTTTCATGCCTTTAGCCCTTCTCCCTTCCCTCTCCTCCTCTTTTCAGTTGTATAGGAATGTACTACGATAATTTCCCTTTTCTTAATATTTTTCCTTTATATTTTTTTAAATTTCTATGATACTTTTCTTTAGAACTATGTTTAATGTAGTTTTCAGTTCCATATAGTTTTTCAAGTTAAAAGATTCTAATCTATGTGAAAATCAAGAGAGAAACTAATGTACTTCCTTCCTCTATGACTTTCCACACGCTAATGGGGAAAGCATGTGAAGTGTTGCCATAGGAAAAGAGTTCTGCTCTACGCCACCTGCAGCCCATTTCGATCGCCAATACAAAGTGAAGTTGATAGCTAAGAGTTAAGACATGGAACCGGTCTTCTCTCCAGATGGCGTATTCGAGCCTTGCGATTTCGAATATCGAATTTGAAGAAAAAATTCTTGTTGATCTTCTTGCGCTTCTGCAAAAAACTCAAAAAGATGCGTTTTTTTGAAAAATGAGTTGCAAAAATACATATTTTCGTAAAATACAAAAAACTTTCTTTAAGAAAAAACAAACAAATATGTTATTTTTCTAATCAGTATTCAACTGTGGCAACACTAAAAGTCTTTCGACTTATGAAGAAGAAGGGTGTGGAGATTCGAGCTGTATTAAACAAACAATTGTAACTTTCTAGTTTCATTTTAATTTCTTTTATTAAGTAAATTGTTTTAATCGTAAATACGTTTACTCCTTAAAAAGTGTGAGATCGTAGTATTTAGTTGTTTTGCAAAGTTTTATCGCTTCGGTATCAGTTGGAGTTACCGGTTCTAAAATATTCGACATGGATGAAGTTAACTGCTGTTGATCGGCACTTATAATTACTATTAATTGACTATCTTTGAGATATCCTGTGTCAATTGTTATTTTCTAATATGGGCTGTGCCGTAAGTTCTGCTGCTGATAAAGAAGCTGTAGAAAGGTCTAAAAAAATTGACAAGGACCTTAGAGCAGATGGAGAACGACAGGCTCGGGAAGTTAAGCTTCTGTTACTGGGTATGTTTTGTTTGTTTACATTTGATTTTTGAGATAGTGAAGATTTCTGTAAATTTTTTAAACAGGCTTATAATTTGCTTATTGTTGTCGTATTTTTTCTTGTTTATCATCATATAAATGGAACATTGATTTTATAGACTTAAATTTTATAACTATTACGATTCTACAACTGTTACGATTTACGCATAATTATTAAGTTTTGATAGTCAAGATTCCGTTCTTAAGGATTACAGTAATATCTATCTGAGATTGGTTTTTGAGAATTACAGTGTTTTAAACAAAAAAATTTCTCTGGAACTACCAAGAATTATGAAATGTTGTTTACAACTAATCTGCAACAATTTTTTCTACTCTAAACAATTCTAAAATCAAATAAAAACGAAAACTATTTGATAGAAATAAGAAATATATAATGCTAAGAAATCTCATCTTATTTCCTTTCCAACAATTCATTCTGAAACATCTTTTCTCTTTATAAAAGGCGAAGGAAGAGATTCAAATGAAAGATGCCAAAAAAGCCCAAAGGACTGGTTATAATTTAGTAAAAAACTAGAATACTGATTCTAAGTAATGGATTTGGTACTTAGCTGGCCGTAAGCAAAAAGCTGCCAAAAAATGTTGACTCCTCGCCTACTATAATATTTATTAAAATATAAAAAGTAAACATAAAAGAATGAAAAGAAATTTTTAGGAAAAATTGATTATTCATGTGCTTGGCTTACTGAAAAGTATTACGATTTAATTTATTATTTTATAGTGAAGGAAAAGGTTTCAGTGTTGTATAATTTTAAACTTAGTACCCTTATCTAAATGTTCTTACATTTTATCTATTCATACATTTTTTTTATAAATATTATATACTTACATAGAATTGAGCAAAACTAGGGGCATTGTGTTTTTAAAAATTGCTTATTTTCGATTTTCGTTTTTTGAAAGCCCTTAAGGGTGCATTTTACATTGGTTATTTTTAAAAAATGGTTAGATTTCTCTTTCCCCAAAAGGATTTTTTTCTTTACCATGTCTATTTTTACCGCTTATTATTCAAAAGCATGCTTTTCACATTGTTCTACTCAACTTTTTCACAATTCATCCTACCACAATCTATTTTGGCGTACTATCAGTCAATAGCGCATGAAAGCGTCAATCATTTTACACATTTGATGAAATACTTGTGAGTCCGCATGTGCGTCTACTGCGCTGAGTTCAGTGTGTTTATTGGCCTTTCATGTGCAAGTCTGCTGCATTTTGCAAGATATTCTCAATTTCAGACTTCATTTTCCACCCTACGATATCAAACCAAAAAATCTCTTGATAATTTTATAACGGCTAATATAATCAAGAAAAGAGTTCTTTGTCAGAAACTAGTTATTTTGTTATGATCATGTAAAGTCTTTGAAAATAATTTTGCATTTTGTTAATGTATATAGTGCTTAAAAATATTTTTCGTTGATAGATTTGGCTGCGAACCCTCAAAATGCAATAATTAGAATTTCGTGAAGATCAATTGTGTATATTTGTTATTCTTTTGATTACTACAGAAATTATTTGCGCACACCATCCAAAAGTATCTGCAAACTCATAATATTTTTGATAAGAGAAAAATTTTATTAAATGTACGAAAACAGTTAATTATTTAATATTTTTATTAAGTTTTGACAAAAAAATATATATATGCATACACATGAACATTAAGAACATTAGAGAAAGATTAATATTAATAGTTATACAAAGAACTACATTCATATAAAGTAATTATCATGTTAAGTAATATTAATTTTATCACTCCAAACGAAATTACATTTTAAGATTTGCTACTGTCACCACAATCATCTATTTTCACTAATCCTTGGGCTAAAAGACTGTTATATCTTTTCTCTTTGGGAGCAGCATGTATGCAACTAAACACTGACTTTCTTCTACCTTTGTGGCAGAATCGCAGCGACTCGGCAACATTGTCGCAAAATGTTAAAGTTCTTGCAGAAAGATTTTACTTTTGAAAAGTTTAAAAAAAAATCCTTTCTTTTCTGTAGAAGTTTGCACGTAATATTTGAATCAAGCATTTAAATAATAATTTTTTGACATGCTCAATTTACGCTGACAATATCGTAAATCGATGTAACGTTTAGACTGTATTTTTGGCAGTTATTGATTTTCACGTGGATTTTAAATATCCTGATATATTTCAAACAATATGGAAAATTCGAATCGTGCATTTGAGTGTTTACTTTTTAAGGCAATAATTCTATCTAAGTTTTGGCAGTTATTGCTATGGATTTCTCTGTAGTTTTTAAATCCGATATTTTTAATACGATATTATTTATTGCAGCAACCTAATATCAAAATTAAACACGCATTTGAGGAGTACGATTCGCGTTATTTCATTTCGCTGTCGATCTTTTTTTCATTGTGATGATTTTTTAACAAACTGTGAAGAAGGAAATAATTCAATGCCTCCTGCAAACAAAATGCAAGAATATCACCCGTAATTCGTAATATTAGTATAAAAATTTATTACATGTTCAATTCGAAATAAATTTATATAGTTTTTTTGTAAACACACAGCACTTGCAGAAAGATATTAGTGCTAGAGAGTTTTGTCGCAGATAGCTTGAAAAAATTCTGCCATAGGGCTTCACCCTTGCATAAATCGTGATAAAACTATCTGCTTTGTATCCCCCCTTCCCCGCTGCAAACTTTTTTTGCGCACACATTCTTTTTTCCATATTATAAAATTTTTTTTAAAAAAGTTTCTGCAAATTTGGAGAATCACCACCAATGTATCCGTGTGCTCACGTGCGTCTATATTATCTAACTATGCTTATAGACAGGGTTGGGGATTTGGACTCTTAGATTTTACTGTCTTAAAGTGTCCAGAACCTTGAACTTTGGTAAAAGGTAAGAATTCCATAGGTATAACCATTGCACTCATAATAAATATTTGGTACTCTTTTTATACAATTTGCACTAACTTATTTTAAAGGAAAATAATACCTATTATATAATACTAAAATATTTATGATGCTTGAAGCTCCACAATTCAATGAACAACAAAAGTGAATACCTTATCAATATGAATAAATACTTTTAATAGGTACTGATAAATTATACTTTTGCATAAGGATAAATAATACAATATTAAAAATAATAATAAACTTTTTTAATAAGGCAAAAACTTGTCTTCATTTTTGTTTCTTGTTCAAAAATTAAACTTATTTATATTTTTTACAATATTTTTTAAAAATTTTGACATAATTTGAATAAAAGGGTTTTGGACAAGACGGTTTAATCCGTGAATTAATCAATTCCGTCCTAAACCATGCCAACTCTGCTTATTAGATAAAATAGTATGAACAGTTGACCGTATAAAGCAGGGATGGGCAAACTACGGCCCGCGGGCCAACTGTGGCCCGCCGGAAGATTTTATCCAGCCCGCGGACCGAATTTTAACTTTTTACTTTCTCTATTTTTGTTCTACAAAACATAGATTAACTAAAATAGTTAGCATTAATAGCTTCAATTGATAAAATGTTGAAAGCAAAAGTTCCCTATAGAATAGCCGTAGATTAGCTCCAACTAGTATTTGTCTTTCTCGAGGAGCAGACATATGGAATCTAATATAGGTGAATTGTACTTCACATGAGGCTTACTACGCATTTTAAGTTCCAATGAGCGGATTTTTCTTCCGGCGTGAGTTCTAACATAATTTACTGCGTATGGAAAACTGCCTTTTTGAGTTATTAGTAAACATTTTTAATCCCAAAATGGCAACTAAAAAATGCAAAGTTGATGTAGAGTGCCATGCGTTCAATGGTGAATTGACTTCATTTTATTTCAGAAGTTAGAATTTTTATTTTAGAAGTTTNGATGAATTGACTTTATTTTATTTCAGAAGTTTTTACTCGGCCCACCAAACTTTTTTTTCTAGATTTTTGGCCCACGACCAAAAAAGTTTGCCCATCCCTGGTATAAAGCAAAGAACTGATAATACTTAAGGTTAAAATTTAGTGTTCGAATTCTGGGTCAGTACTTCCGGTTTATTTTTTACCTAAGCTTGAGAAAGCATGCTTTCAATTTAACTTTGAACACCACAAACAGATTCAGAAGACACCACATGATTGATATGATGCTAGTTAAGAAAAAATAACAGGCTGTGATATTTTATGCAAATTTAATCAAATAAGGGATCACGCTCAAAACATTGTAAGCCTGTCGCTTTATTTATATTATGATATTAATTTTCGCAAATTTATTTACCGCTCACAATCTTTTAGAATTTATGAATTATAGAAAACTCTTATGAACAATAAAATTACATGTAAATTAAATTGCTAAGTGCTAAAACCATTTCAAAATTCGTGTTATAATCACATTGTATTAAAAATATCAGAATTTGAAAAATCACATGAAAATAAAAGATAAGAAAACCAGACTATAAGAGATTATTGTCTATTTTTGCTACTGTGTTTTTCTGTAACTCTTATTGATTTTTTAAATTAGCTATTTGCTACGTGTTAGTCTATAAAATTGCACCTTGGCCTTAACGCTTAGAAGAAACAAAGAATAAATTACTTTTTTTATTTTATTTATTTTAACATAATGGAGGTTAAAATATAACAATGTTCTTATTGGCATATTGCAGCAAGCAACATAACGAAAAAATACTTTAAAATTTTTTTAAAAATATTTTTCATAAACCTATTTTTTTTTAAATATAAGAATAGGAAAATAATTCTGAAATTAAACTGAAAGAATAAAATTTAGAAAAACATCTTATTCGTTAAAATAATGTTAATGCATCTAATTCATTCCAACATTATGCATCTTAGCAGGTACGTGAAAATAAAGTTTAAGAAACTTTAATTCATTAATGTTTTTGAAAGGGTGGCCTGCCGTTCCTGCCTTTTGATGTCTATAAATGTGCCCTCTTACAGTGACAGCAGATTGCTCTAATGGTTTTCTAAAACCTGGTGGACATGGTCTATTTTATTTAAATATTTCTT